ACCTACAAAAACATAAATTTTAAATGAATGACCTTAAATACATTACGTAAACAAGCTATTAAACACATGAACATCATCACAAAACATCTTTCTCTCATCACTTTCTGTCATCACTTTATTTAGTCACTTTATCTCGATGCAGTCGTGTAGAGATCCGAGATGGGATTCACGGATAGCCAAAATCAATCGCGGAGAGCAAAGTGAGTGAATAACGATGGAGTACTGTTATTGAATAATGTACAGGTTCGATTCCTCGGCGCGGCGTTTGAAACAATAGGCACTTTATATATATAAAAAAATCCACCCTTTCGCTCAACACCCACTTCTGTTCACCCGACAGTAAACATGTGTTCACCACAATCAATCGGCAGGTCGTGTGTGGCGGTGTAAATGTGGCTACTTATTATGGTCCGTGGGACCAGACCGGATATTTCACTCGTCGGTTCCACCTGAGGTGGCCTCACTTTCGCAGTTACAAGTTCCGCATGTGGCCAATAACAACAGTGAATGACGCAATTTCAATCTTTTAGTGTTATTAATAATTATCTGAGAATCATTTCAAATGCGTGTGGTGGTTATCAAGTACTGTAATTCAATGTTACTAGCCGAAAAAAGTACACCGGCACTGCTACCTTAGGTGGTGCCATTTTCTGCTCTGGCCCGTGGGCAATATTAAATACTCCCTTCACCTTCAAAAGACGTTCAGCTACCGTGGAAGAGTAGGCAGAAATACCCTCTAGAGTTTAGATTATAGAATTATCTCTCTTGAGAAGCTTCCTTTTCGTGGAATGGTCCATTCGCCAGCAGTGGGCGAGGTAAGCCAGTGGTAGCCCCCCCAGGGGGGAGCGAGATGACCTTTCTGGTGGTGCGAGACATTGCCAGATTTGTTCTAGCAGGTAAATGATCGAAAACACAAATTAAGCACGGGGCACGTAAGTACAACTACTTTGTTTCGTCGAACCTACATTATAAAACAACAATTTACGATTGTGAACCAAAGGGATGCAGGCTGCAGTAAAGATAAGAACCACTGCGACACGCAAACAATTGCGGGTTTTCACCGGCATTTGACCCCTTTTATAAACTCCACGGCGCCGAAGCAGGTGCCTTATAGAATCACGTGCTGCAGTGTGTGCGGTATACAAGCCGGTCACGGACGCCTGGCAGAGCGGCGGTGTTTGTTTGGCTTGGTAATTGCCTCTATAAGGAGGGGCCGCTATGAATACACGTGGCGGTCAGTGCTGTCCACATAGCGGCGGAGGAGACTGCTGCCCGCCCTGTGTTTATCCAAACCCAGATTCAAATTGTTTCCATACACGCGGCGAGCTCGCACCGGGGCTGTAGAGGAACGCGTGGCCACCTCGACCCCCCCCCCCCAACCACACACCCTCACAACATGCCCAACATGAGCTATCCCCGGTGTACACCCGGCAGTGCAAGTAACTATTGCTGCGTGGATACCGTGCAAGGGAAAACTTTCGGCCGTGCGCGTGGAACGTCAGCGCCACGTCGCTCCGACAAGACACGAGTTTAAAGCATGCAACATAATTCACTGACACGGCGTTGACTCGAGGTGTAATCTCTCTGCATCTTGGCCTTAGTAACCTGGGGGGGGATCGCGATTGGAGGTGCGTGGACCAGTGGTCTTGTTTGGTGGGGAGGTGGGGGGGGGGCATAACGTACGGTGCGAAATAAGTTCAACAAACCAAAACGGTTGCGTACCACTCCTGTAGTGTAAAAGGTAATGGGGAGTGATAGCACCCGTTCAGATATCACTCGCCACTGATGTCAGTAATCGAATTCAGATGGCTGGATTTCAAGTGCAGTGCGCTCACTACTGCTCGAGCTGGGTCCTCCCCTACAATAATATTTTTGGCAGCAAACCGTGACAGAAGATCACCGCGCCAAACCTTTTTTGCTAATAAATGTTTACCAAAAATTAGTGGCGAGTGACATCTTTCTGAACCAACCGGTCCTGCACCTCTCCGCATTGATCAGTATCGCGATATAGCAGCGATTTGGGGGGGGGGGGGAAACACCCCAATATTTATCTAGTGGTGAATTGACCATGGCGGCTTGATAACGATTAAGATTATTCGTACAGAATCAGACTGAAAAAAAACCCCGGCTTTGAAGTTTCGTGAACCATTCACCTCGAAAATCCGATGTGTGGGTGAAACGCGCGAACGGAAGAGTACCAAAAAAAAAGATCCTCCTTTTGTGCATCTGTGGGTTGGCGAGCGAGCTTCTAAGGATGCCTTTGAGCCCTTGATGTGATCCAAGCGGGTTTAGAATTGAGGCCATTTACTTTGGCGCAAAGTGTTGCGTTCCAACTTCAGAACACATTCAATAGCCCCTCACCCTCCCTTCCTCCCACCCACGTACCCACCTTTTCAAATCATCAAAGATGCAATCGGGCGTCGCGAGCTCTGTAGGATTCTTGAAATTCTCCATCGAGATAGACTCGGTGCATTCATTAAAAGCACGTGTTGCACTGCAATGATTGTAAGCGTCGCGCCTTGCACCCCGCTCTGATTGGCCGATTTTATGCGAAATCAAGTCCAACGCTCACCGTGAACTCATCCAGGCAGCAGCAGCAGCGTGTGTGCAGGCTGGGCAACAATTACAGCAGTGGTTCTTAACCTAGGGTGCACGCTGCAGCCCCTGAGGATGCGAGATGTTCTTTCTGCGAGACATGGCCAGTTGTTTTAGAAGTCAAATAATCGAAAGCACAAATTAAGCACGGGCACGTCAAGTACAACTACTATGTTTCATGAAACCTATTTATTAAGATTATATTTTTAACGATTGAGAAAAGGGGTGCAAAGCTGCAGTGAAGGTCAAGAACAATTGATCTCCAGTGATAATCAACGACATGCAAAAATCATCGCCGTCTATAAATTATAATTTGAACGTGTATCATTACGCCGACTTCATGCACATCGTTTAACAGAAGCAACCCCATATATCTCATCTACGCAATATAATGGCCGGTTCATGATGCGTAATTGGTATCTACGCAATTTGCATATACCGTACTTTTTGTTAATTAACTTGGAGTTGCTTATCAATGCGCTGTGCAATTATGACAAGTTTTGCACCGTTCGCTCATTGCGGGAACAGTGATAATTACTGGAAGAAAAAAACTAATTAATTTCGTCAGATTTGAATGCGTGTTAGATTTAACGCCGCTTGCAAACCATTTGGGTCAATACGCTTGCTTTCGAGTTGAGGTATTTACAAGCGAGATTTTAAGTTTAAAAAATACGTTAAACCAATGTCTTGCTTTAACAAAACGGTGCTTATTCAATTAACACGCAAACGTATTTGAGATTATACGATTTGAGCACCATTGACAAGCAATGCTATATTTAGTAATTATAAAATTTAATCAAAACGTATATTAAAGTAACGTAAATAGAGTTTAAAACCATGTGGTATACACGTGTTCGTCCTTTTAATACCGTGGTCAGAAACGTCCACAATTGTGACATTTTTACGTATAACTACATGGTTGGAGGATAAAGTGATTGTGCTGTGCAATTTAATTAAACGCTGACGATGGATAAATTACAGCAGGCTTTCAGTGAAAATCAGTGCAAATCGTTTGTTGAATTTTTACATGTCCTTTGCAAACGGATTATTGTCGATTTATCACCAGAAGCTGATAAAGCTTTGAATCTCGTATTTTCGGTAAATGCAATTTTTATATATAAAAAACCGCACAGGCAGACCTCACCGAATGGCGGGGTTACGTTCCTGAAAAATGCCGTTTTAGACAAAAAAAGCCCTCTACAAAAAATATACCTCATGGGGAAAATATGGTTGCGTTCCTGGGCCCGACATTACCAATTGATTATCCGTGATTTCCGCTCTGGTTATTGTAATAAACGCTGCGAGTCGCTCTCAATTTCTTGTGAATACACTTTTATTTGTTTGAACTCCACTCCAACACAAAACAAAAATCCCTCTCTCCATCTTCCCGCAGCGCGGCACTCAAAACCCGACGTTCGCCCCCTCACCCTGAAATTGTCAGCCCGAGCCTCGACCCCCTAAACACTGTCGCTTGAACGTTTAACGATGAGCCACCATGCCGTCCGCATGACTAACGTCGACCACTGGACGGCAAGATGCATGCGGCGACGTGCGAACATTTGCACAATGCCTTTGTCCCTGAGCGTGTCGCTGATTCGCCATCTAGCCACCCCTTGGTCTTGCTAACGAGTGGCCGCCGAGATGCATGCGGCAATTTGTGAACATTTCCGTCGAATGCGTTACATAATTATCAAACAAAAACACACAAAGATCCCCCGTGTAGCCTTAAGAGACTGTTGGGGGCAAGTGTTGGCTAGCGAGCACCTATGAAGGCCGGCACGGCACACGAGGGGGATGGGGTGGCCAGCACCACGCCCGGCCGCCTTTGTCTCCCCAGTGGCAATGTTTACGTACCGCACCAAGCACTTAATTGAGGCTGAGTCGACCTAGGGGAGGCCCAGGACCGGTTCAGATACTCGTCACCGGTGTTGGCCGTGAACGGGAATCGAACGCGGTCGCCAGGTTCGCAGGGCAACGCGCTAACCGCAACACTGCCGCTCCCCACACACATACACACAACGACCTACATGGTAAATAAATCGTTATCACAGTCGAATCATTCGCACCTTGAAACGGATGCAGCGCTATCACGGCACTACTTTTCGATGCGTTCGATGCGGAGACAAGAATCTTGGCAGCGTCAAATCTCGTACAGCCGAAACATGAACCCCCCCCCGCCAACGTGTTCCGGAAAACAGACCTCGATAAACCGTGAATATTCTTAGCTCTTTCGGTAAAGTCACGTTGAAGGGAAACAATAAAACATATATAAAACAATAAAAATTCTCACGACGTTTCGACCATAACACAAACGGTCATCATCGGTCATCAGGTGTGATGATGACCGTTTGTGTTGTGGTCGAAACGTCGTGAGAATTTTTGTTTTATATTTTATTTTGTTTCCCTTCAACGTGACTTTACCGAAAGAGCTAAGAATATGAATTACTGCAAGCTTTAAATCAAAATTAAACCGTGGATAGCTAAGTGAGCCGCATTGGGCAAGTTTTTCCTGCACATCCGGTCCCTGCTTTCACCACACAATGCGTTCCTGGAACGCCCGTCGTAAATCGGATCCTATTTTCCCACAGAGAGTAGAAACATTACTTGACGATGTTTTTCCTTTCATCAGCCACGTTTAACGGGGTTTAATAGGTAAGCATCCACGAAGACGCCTGAGATTAACAAAAGCTCCACGCCGAGTCACATCGGAAACCAGAGTGACTTGTTCAAATGCGTTCGGGAGTCGCGTTGGAAGATGCGTCGTAAAGCAAGTTTCTGCGTCGTCGTAAATCGATCCGTGGTGACGTTAAATCAACGTGATAAATGTGCATCTTTGTAAATTGGACCGTCTTAAACTGGAGACCGCCTGCATTTGAAAACTAAAAAATTGTGAGCGAGCCGTCATGCACAAAATGTAAAAATGTGTATTTAAATAGCAAAACCCAACATTGCTAAAAAAAGTTAGAGGCCCATCCAAAGTGTTTGATTCGCCATGAATAGTGTATCAATCATTTTTTTCATTGACAGTGACCGCATTTATCCAGGCAAGTACACATGCAGTAAATCACGTACGCTCCATAATAAATTCAGATACAATAAAACCTTGGATTGCGAGCATAATTCGTTCCGGAAACGTGTTTGCAATCCAAAGCACTCGTATATCAGTTGTAATCACGTGACGCTCGGCAGTACAAAGCGTATACGTACTACTCGTATTGCAAAACCCTCGCTCGTTTATCAAATTAATATTTATTTAAATTTTTAGCTCATCTTGCAAAACACTCGCAGACCAAGTTACTCGCAATCCAAGGTTTTACTGTACACATAAAGTGTGCGCCAGTTTGTTCAAGTTGTAATATAAAATGTTTCTAAAGCAGCACATTGATACCTATACGGTGTTCTTACTCGTGTATATAAACACGTTTTTTCCCTTTGAATCATCGTGTGCATTTTGATAGTTTAAAATAACAAAAATCGAAACGTACAAAAATCAATTCACGTGCAGTATTCGAGGCGTAGCATCATTTAGTGCATACAAAAAAAAACACACAAAAAAAACGAGACCAACAAGGTTAAGGAATTCCTGTTTTTCACGGACATTATATTCGGCAGTGTAAATTGCGGCAGGCAGGCCGGCAGGTAGGCCGGCCGCGGTTCACACGAAGAACTGGGCGATGAGGTTGGCAGTGCCGCACAGCATGAGCGCGACGTGCGCCAGCATGGACCACCGGCCCAGCGTGCCCCGCCGCTTCTCCGACAGCAGATGTACGAGCGACGGCAGCACGAACACAAACGCCAGGCCGCACGTCGCTCCCGAGTAGCTGCACCAGAGGCAAAGGAACGTGGTGGTGGGGTGGGGGGGTGTTGGTGGTGGAGGGTGTGCAGATCGGAGAGTCAACATAATGAACGAAAACAGCAAGTCAAAGTTTTTGTTTTTCCTTTTGAACTGGCACATCTGAGCAGAGCCAAAGCAGGGCCCGCGCGTTACGCACGGGTGGTTTTCCACTGGCTATCTGATGAACAGAGTCGGAAATAGACCGTTAAACTCTGGCCTCACGAAGACATCCGATTCTGGTTCGAGACCAAGCCGGGCCGGAGAACGGCTAATGGCACGTTCATCGCTTGTGCGTCAGTACAACTAAAACGCAACAACACCGTGCCATCTACACGTGTCTCGACTCGTCAATTGCAGTGCAGATTCTGCAGTGGGGAAAACCTGGCGCTTCCCGAACCGCACCGGGCTGGCTTGGCCCTGGCGCAGATCGGTTGAACAGTGTAAATGCAGTGCTTTGCAATACTTAAACGAGCAGCAATAGTTGATTAGAGCTCATTTTGACACTTCTTTGGGAAGGAATAGTTTCTCCGTAAGACAGCCACCATGTATTGCTTGCAAAGTTGCACTGAATTTGTCAGTGAGTCGAACACCAACCGGGATTTTAATTTACAATCTTCAAATTGTGAGTTGGTCAGTCTACCACAGTGCTACAATTCTCGAATAACAATAATAAAACATGCAAGTAAAATGAGTAAACAGAAAATGGGGGCGTTAGAAGAGGCATGGTTGAAATATGCAGGGCGTTTTGATTTACGAGAGGTGTGAAAGTGAAAAAAAATCGTTGAGAATAGGGAGGGGAAAGGCCTTAGGGATTTGGGGGGAGCAACAGGAAGTCAGGCCAGAGGGTGTAAAGCAGGAGAGCGACGACAGGAACAAAAGGTGAGTGGGAACGGAAGCAGAGGGCACAGAGAGGAAGCGAGTGAGCGAGCGAGGGAGGGTCAAGGTGAAAAGGTGGATGAAAAGGTGGGTGAGCGGGAGGGGACGTTGAGGGTTTAAGGGGAATGCAAAGGCGACAGGGGCAAGGATGTGGATAAGGGTGAGGGGTCAGATGGGGAGAGGGTGGCATGCGAGAAGAGGCACAAGGCAGGGAAGTGAGGTGAAGGGGTTTTGTTGAAGAGTAATTCAAGCTGCAATACAAGAGCTGAGCTTGGCCTCCAAGCTTAGATGGCTTTCTCGGGGCCCTTGCCTTTTCACCGGCATTAATAATTTGTGTGCTTGGCACGCTGTGCAGTAAAAGAAAGCTAGTATTTTCCTAGGGTCCAAACCGATTCATTAAATATTGAGTGCTGCAATGAACTCTTTTTTTTGTTACGACATACGATGCCCAGACCTGCTGTGGCGATTAACCCTTCTTTAAAAATCACCAATACGAAACATTATCTGGTTTAGAGAAACTAAACTTTACTGAAGCATTATTAAACATAGTATATAAGACGGCTGGTCAGTGTAACATTATGAGACTGTGAATGATTAGTTAATCTTATTTCTGACCAATTCCTAACATGCCTCCAGCATAGTTAACAAGATTACGGCTGCTTTTTGTTATTACTTAGTATTGTCTTTAATCAGGCAACCATGACTAGTGGTCCACGCCGGGGTGACACATTAGGAACTTTATGAGCAACACATGGTTTAAGCTTCACAAAAATATGCAGAAGCACAAACATCCTTCACAGAATTCCGTTTATTTTTGCAGTGGGGGGGGAAGTTTCCCAAGATGTTTTTACGTGCGTAAATGCGTACATTTTTCTTCTTGTTTTTACTTTCGCTGTTCGCAAAGCACTCAAAAACTTAGACCGCACCCAACAGCATGGCTCACTTACCGAATGATCGCGCCGATGTTTGGGTAAAATCTAGCGACGAGAACTCCGCAGCCGATGAGCACCATATTGAGCACCAGCACATGCAGCACACTGTGGAACAAATGGCACGAAAAACAACAAATGTGAGCGCCTCGTGTGACACGTTAAACTGCATTAAAAGTTGAACATATTTCACTCGAGCACGCAGACAATTAGCGGCCTTTAAGAGTTTTCGCAAAAACCTAGTGGAAACGGTCAAACGAACGATCGATCGAGTTTTCCGCTCAATTCAATGCAGGGTCTATTTTCCACGCCGGGTCAAGGTGACTCCAGAAAACACGGCGAGGCCAATTTGGTCAAATTAAGTGGAGTTTTGAGCCGTGCCTCGTGGCCTCCTCATCTCTTTAAACGGGAGGGAAACTGACAGGGCTGTCACCTTGGGTAACTTTTCCCCCAGATCTGCGTGAAAATCTGCACGCGGAAGATGTACGCCAGCATCGGGAAGACGGTGCTCATCTGGAAGAGCAGGAAGACTCGCGCCAGCAGAGCCATGATGTCATCGTTTGGGAGATTGTCCAAGAAATTCTGTCAATACAATGAAGGGGATGATGTGCAGTGATAAAATATATGAAACAAAACGTATACACAGTGGATTAGCCGATGGGTAATTCCTAATAGTTATAAACATTTCAGCACTTTCATATCATCAGCTATGATCTATCCACTGCTGGATGAAAGCCTCTCCAAGTCGTCGCCATCTGTCAGTGTCTTGCGATGCAACAATCTAGTTCCTGCAAGCGAGCCAATTTCATCGTTCCTTCTCCGCCGTTGATGAGTTACCTATTTGTGCTGTCACTGATGTTAGATTTCACCACTAGCCATGAACTCTTTTAGCGACATGTCCTATCCAGGTCAACGTACTTTTATTAATAGAATACAATGTCTGTAATTTGTGATGCCTTAGTTTATCCAATCCGATTTTGAGAAAACATCTTCTAATGTCACTGTGAATATAACTTGCTTAAAATATCTTTCCCTTTAAAAATCTATCCTCTTTCTGAGCATGTCTGTTGCCGTTCAGATAATGTTACCTTTCTACCCACTTTAATGCACTTTCCATTGTTACATTAGTTATTACGTTATTCAAAGTGGTGACATCCATTTGTCACTTCAATCATTGTATTTCGTTAGACATTTGAAAATGACGCTTAGGTTTAAGAATAAAAAAAGCTATGCCTTGACCTACATTTTTTATAACTATTTTCTTTATGCCTACAATTAGCTTTGTCCTTTGGCTATGCTGAAGTGCACCTTGCATCGCACCACCCTGATATCTTTTCACGTTCGTTTTGTTGAGGACACAGATGTCTCCAACAATCCAAGTTTTGTTTGTTATAACTAGGTGAAGCCCATTATTAATTTAATCACATGGGTCCCACTCCATTTCCATCTCCTATAGTCCTCTTTGAAAATAATATTCGTTAACTTCATAATGATCACTAACAGAAGCTAACCTCTTGTATTCCTTCTTGCAATGTTAAACGTGATAATTTTCTTGCCATTGCAACTGTTACCAACTATTGCGATACAGTCACCCATGACGATGCCATGATTTTTACCCCTCGCTATGACTTGTTGCTGGGACATACACTTGCATTATGTTAAACCCATCATAATTCTAGAGGCTTACCATTAGCTGGGCAATTCTATCCGATATACTCTTGAAACCTAAAACTCTATGTATTATTCCCAGAGAGTCTAAGAATCCTGCTCCTGCATAATTAATGTCAACTATCACTCTGAGACAGAATAGGTTGCCATTTTGCAGAAGTTATGGAGTCACCTTTTGTTATCACATCACCGAGGCCAACTATGTCTCAATTTAAATCTCTCAATTCTGTCCCCAGTTTGACGACAGTTGATTATCTGGATACAGTCCACGTGTCGTATGCAGTAACGATCCAGTCAAGAAGGAGTTCTGTTCTTACCTAGTGAATCCTAACATCCGTTACTCCTATGCCTACGATGTTGCCATCATGTGTGATGAAATCAGAGTTGCAGGTGATGAAGGACCATGGTTCAGACTGCACTAACATAGGGGGAAAGATATGTGACTATACTTCACCATGCTGGTCAGTGTCGGTTGGTGGATATACCCACCAGACAAGGGAAGTGCACTACCTATATATATAAAAAAAAACAACCTCAAAAACACATTTGTCAATAACACTGCTTTAAAAAGGAAAAAAACATCTAGGATTGAAGCTTTCGTGAATGCAGGAATTACTATACTCAATTGGTTCTTTCGGTAAAGTCACTTATGTGGAAATAAAATTAAAATTGAAACGTCGTGATCTTTTGTAATTTTATTAAATTTCTACGTACGTGACTTTACCGAAAGAACCAATGAGTAAAGAAAAAAAAGTCTATGTAATAGGTGAAGTTTTGGGCAATGGTCCTTCGTTACATCAGGCAGAGAGGTGGAGACAGAATTTTATATTCCACAGGGCCTAATTATTAAATAATACAAATGTTGCCTGATTCACAGTTTTTAAATAATACAATTAGTGATGCATTTCTGGGTTCAATTATAATTTTAATACAATTATAATCAGCGTAATGTACTTAAGTGATGTTTAGGCCCAACATTCAGGTTAACCCCAAACATCTCCCAATCACTCACGGGGGGGGGGTGGTTAGCCATGCTCATGTTCTCATCAGTGTAATGATGCCGAATTAAGGCTGTGTTTACTCATTACCTAAACCTGAACAATAATATATATTATTCTTGGTTCTTTCGGTAAAGTCACGCAGAAGGGAAACAATCATATATATGTACAATTATATTCGTTTCTTATGAAATACATATCGACGAATAATTATGCAGTAAAATGGTACGGAATATATGCAGTATATAGAGTGGTCTTTACTCGCCTCTTGAATGCAAGATTTCCACAGCGGTGGAGATGGGAAGGAGGCAAACACTAGGATTCCTACGTAGAGGTACGTGAAGCCAACCAGGCCATAAGCAATAGAGAGATCTCTGACCTGCTCACACGCATGTCACACCACCACACACATGATACATGTTTAGCGAAAGGGGATCGAGGCCATTGAGGCCCTTTATGGAACACTTTTACGATTAAGGCATCGAACATAATGAACGGTGAAACGTATGGTGTTTTATGCTGGGGGAATGTTAGCGTACATTGTTTTCGGGATGCCGGTTGTTTTTGACCAGGGTGATGACGCAGTTGTGAAGGAAAAAGGCAAGCGTTAGGATGCCTGTCATGGCAGGGAAAAACTGGCGAAACTCTGCAAGCACAAACACACGGCCACAAAGAAGATTCAACAGTAACAAGTTACAAAAGTGCTCATCCAGCCATGATCAAACCACTGCTGGATGAATGCCTCCCCAGGCTGTTGCCATCTATCATGACCCTGCGATGTAATAATCCACCATGCACTTGCAGCTGATTTCATCACTCCATTTCCTTGGGAAGACGCCCTCTCGGATGTGTCCGTTCCTTGGCTGTCAACCATCTTCCCTTCTAGCGAAGTGCACTGCCAAAGTCCAATTATTTTTCTTAACAGTACGACGTAGGCCTTTAACCTGCCAATATTCTCTCATCCATGTGTTCCTGTTTCGATTTAACTTCATCCAGATACCAGTTTGAAAAACAAACGCATTGTTGGTTGTAATTCCTATGTGCTGCGCTTAGATAATTTACCTTGCTATACAATTCCACATAAGTCACTTCATTGAGCTATAATTTGTGACCAAGTCGTATCTGAAAAAGAAGCTAATGACTCAGTCACCTGGGGTAAGATAAAAAAAAGTTTAGTTTTATTTGTATAGATTTTTAAACTGATTTGTTACCGTTCCTATACTTTGCACTCGTATCGTGTTTTAGTATTGTTTGTTGTTCTAATGTTCTGACTTGCCCCTCCTGGACATCTGTAAAAAAGAGCTTTATAGCTCATCTGATTCCTCCAGTAGAAATAAATAAATATTTATTCTGACTTTATAAGCTTACCAGGCACAAAGTGTCTGTCGCTGGTCGAGATCCAGTGGAAGTCGAGGTGTATCCCCCACTGAGAGGCCTTGACTGTGACCAGGATCAGGAGGTAAACCACAGAGACTGTGCCTACATTGCAAAGTGGCAACCACACAAAAAAGACAAGACTTAGATCCCTCCGTATCGCCGTGCCGGCCTTCACCAATGAAGGCCGGCACGGCACACGAGGGGGTGGGTGGCCAGCACCACACCCTACCACGTTTGTCTACCCAGTCGCGATGCTTTTACGCACCACAGCAAGTACTCATTTGAGGCTGAGTCGACCTCGGGGAGGCCCAGGACTGGTTCAGCTAATCGTCACTGGTGTTGGGGTCGCCGGCTTCGTAGGGCAGCGCGTTAACCATTAGGCTACCGCTCAACACAACACACACTTTCAAAATGAAGCCACGTGTTTGTACAACATACTGGCTACAGACCGCCAACTTGGGGCTGTCCGTATGAAGCCACTGGCAAACGTCAATTACTTTATAGTAAATACATATAAGGTGTCACTGATTTAAAGAACATGAGAGAAGTGTGGATGTATTCTATTTAACCACTCAACAGATTAAAAACACGAGGTATTGAAGGAAGATACAGCCTGAAAACCAGATAGCTCATAAATTGATGATACAAAATAATTACTATTTAGTTGGTGATATTGCAGCAACGGGTCTGGGACTGTCTGATAAGGCTTTTGAAGCCTTGTGAATAAGGGAAAATATATTTTAAAGCCAAGGGCAAGTGCAAAATTATGGAATTCTAGTGAGTGTTATACATCAGCATTATAATGCAACATCAATGCAGTGATGTCAGTAGGGCACTATGGTGGATACCATATTAACCGAACTTCAATACCATTTTACAAACCAGGACACAAGACTTGGTAGGTATCTACAAGATAAGCGCTATTTGTTGTGTTTTGGTTTCACGTTTAATTACAATTTGGAAGATGCTCAAAACAAAATGTAATCTTACGCTGTTGCGCATGTCATTTGACATGTACAATACAATACAGAGAATAACCCATGCAACATTACCAACAAAGATAAACCCTTTAGCCAAGTATATCACACAACAGCAGCAGTCTACAGTACATTCAACAGAGCTGCCAACACGCCTCGTCTGCCATGCGCAAGGCACCCTCTGCTGACCCGGCTCACAATTTGTGCTGCCAGGTATTGAAAATGTCCCATCGGGCGCAGTGGCAGACCAACACTGAGCTGTATCATTACCGAAATTCAGGTGCTGTTTTCATTGCTGTGAAACGTAACCCATGACCAAGTCAACAGTGTCAGACTCGCTCGCAAGAGACTGCATTTTGTTTATATATTTGAACCTCAAGCCCTGCTCACCAATCAATCACGTCCATTTCCAGAAGCTAGGCGAGAAGCCCAAAGGGATACAATATCTCTTTTCGCAAAGCAAGCTCAGATTCGATACATTGCGACTGCTTTCAAAAATGACCTAATTTAATTGCACATTATTCCTCCGAGTTTACTTTTGTAACAGACGCGATACAGCCCCCTCCATAAATCGAGGCCGGGAGGGAATTAAATCAAACGGAAACCCCGGACTGTTTGGTATTACGGCGACCTCTGACCCGGCTGGGACGCTCGAGTTTCGTTCTAAATTCCGAGCGTCTCCCGAGTTGTTTCCCAAATCTTGGGCGCACCCTCGCCGGGCCTCACCCAGGTTATTGAAGCGTGCGAAGAACGCAGCGGAGCGGAAGTTGAGCAGAGGCAGCAGCAGAGGCACCAGGTAGAGGGGCACGGTGTTGGTCTGGCTCCAGAACGCGTTGAAGGTCTCAAAGGAGCCGTTGGTGGGCCCCCGCAGCCCTGCCTCAGGCGGTCCCTCGAACACTCCCGGCGCCAGCATGAGGAGGCCCCCATAGCCGGTCACGTTGGACAGCTGTTTGACAGGGTTCGGGCAGAGCACTGCAACGCAGCACCGCGCGCGGTAACTTTGACGTCAATTCCTTTACGTAGAAACTTTAAAGTGAATTTAAAATTAATGGTTCTTTTAATGATATAAAACATACTATCATTTTATATCGTGTCATTCATGCCGACAGCATCCCACAAAGGTGATGGAGTATTTACATGAAAGTCCTGGTGTTGGTGGAATTTCATCTGCAGTGGTTGTCTTTTGAGTCACTGGCGTTGAATGCAGAAATTTGGTGGATTTGCATAAGCGGAATTGTGATGCAACATGGAAGATGAAGGTTGTGTGTCCGACAAAGTGCTTTGGAGGTTTTATTGGGATAAAAGATGTTACGTGATTTATTGCACGAGTGGTATTAGCAATGCGATTTATACACGTATAACACTTATTTTATTGGAACTGTTTACACATTTCTCTTGAAACATTTTGTTAATATACCAAATGTAAATGTTTGCAGTTATTCAAACAGTTTATGGCTGTCATGTGCATTTCATACCAGGATGAGAACCATTTGTTCTCGGGATATTATCCGTCATGTTTATTCCACAGGCTTTGTCTGTCACGCAGAAAGTACATCACAAGCACAAACACATGATTAACAACTCAAAGGTCTCCCTGTGCAATACTGCGCACGCATTGTGGTGGCCATCGTTGTCAGTCCTGAATCAGTGATGGACATTCCACATTCTTATAGAACACATCGGGCTTCATGTCTCCACTCTTTAACGGAGTTTAACTCGCAGCTTATGTGCAATTCCCTGTACTCGGGTATCAAATATGCTCTCGAAAATTTAAATTCCTTCATGGCATCACAAAAATCAATAACACCAGGCCAAATACTTTTCCAACACACGTATGCATGTTGAGTTTATTTTTCGCACCGTATGTAGCCAATCGTGTTAATCAGAGGTGCGTGCGAAGGACCACAAACTAAACACAAAGAAGCAGATCTAAAGAAATTAGTTTTCAATCTGGATTTAAAAGCGCATCGCTCCAGTGGCTTCCTAATATCGGAAGGAAGAGCGTTCCGGACTGCCGCAGAAGCGCATCTGAAAGCGCGCGATGCAGTGGTTAAGCAAAAGGTGGTGTGAGGATGACTGGAGTTAGCGTGCTCAAGATGTGCCCTTTCCACAGATCAAACTTACACACACGCATTCTTTAGATGTATGGATGTCCATTCATTGCATTCCAACATTCTCTATCATTTAAAAAAAAGTCATTTCCATTTTACCCACACCAGAAACGGACTTCTTGACCACCATAAATGTCGCTGCACTGCCCTCTGCTGTCTATAATGTGGTCGCACAGTCAAAAAGATACTCAACATTCACAATACTTCGCAATCGAAATAAACCATTGGAGCCTGTCCTTGGAAGTACATGTCAAATTTCAAATCGGGTATCATACTATGCTCTGTTAGAAAAAAAAAGTTTGCTGGCTGGAGGATTACTGCTTGTATTCTTTGCCTGGATTTATAACGAGATTCCTGGTTGGCCCATGGCCAAATGCACGAGCGAAGCGGTGACATAAATGTGCACATATGCGCGATGACATCACCTGCATCACACAGCGTTGAGCCAGTTTGTGCATGCACCCCCCCCCCCCCCTCAAACTCACCCTGCACCCTAACCGTGTATTCCGTGCAAATGCGAGAGGAGAAAGATAGACGGAGAGAGAAAAGAGGGAACAAGAGACGGAGAGTGGCTAGGAGAGAGTGATATGGTATCAAACGGTGAGGAAAGAGGGCGAGCAAAACGGAGGAGAGCGAGGGAAGCGACAAGTAGTGGAAGAAAAGATGATGGAGAGGCAAGAGAGACTGAGACGGTAAAGTACTGCTATCTAATGGCCAATTCGCAGTCCGGTGGGTTTGGGGGGTCTCAAGAATACAAAAGGGTGAGCCACCAAAGCGCTACATTCCAGGTGTGCGCCACCATGCCAAGATACGCTATCATCGTGACATGTGGTGCTGATTAACCTGATCCCCACACATATTACTATTGGCTGAGTCGACCATGAACTCATGCCTCTGTACGGAGGAAGCGAGCTTCGGAAAGGACAAGTCCGGCACAATCTCAACATTGAAAATAAGTTCAACATACATAGATGAGATGGCCCGCATTGCACATGATGTTGGCCATGAGCACCCAGTAGACGGTCATGGTGCAAGCCAATCACACATCTTGGTCATGATTGCACATGTACAAGCACAGCCGATTTTGGCAATCAACTGCCGGATAAGGGCCTCTATTATGGCATGCGAGGCATTGGGATTATTTCACCCAAATTCCCCACGCTGCCCAGTTCTGCGTTGGCGAGCGAAGTGGGTACAAGACTGGTGCTGATATCACTCTTCTTGGTTGGTAATAGCACTCGGGTTGCTGGTTTCGATTTGCAGTGCGCTATCCACTCCACCACCACTCCACTAAACAATACCACAAAAGAAGAAGGCATCTCATCGTAGCTATCTGACACCAATGCATCGGTCTTTTAGTTCCGTAACTGGGGAAATTCCCCAAATGTATCTTGTTTTTCAAATGGTATTGCAAGGAGAGAGCAAAGGTGCATAGCAATACAACGCAATAAGATTGCTCTGCACTGCCCTCTACTGCAACCTGTCTGTGCACTCGAGCTCACCGTAGATGAAGCGGCCAGTGTTGTACATGAAGTTGGACATGAGCACCCAGTAGACGATCAAGGCGCCGGCCAGAGACACCAGCGAGAAGAGGAGGCTTATCCACTGGCCCAAGCGCCCGAAATAGTGGCCGCACACCTGAGGGAAGTCCATGTCTTCACCACCGTCTGGGAAAGAGTGGAAAAAGCATCATTCTAGGTCACGGGATCAGCAACATGCACCTCCAGAGTAAAAAAAAATAAATGGCTCTTTTTGTTATTTTGGTTGCCGATCCCTGGCCATGGCAGTCCAGATCACCGTGGAAGTCCAGTTTCACCATGGAAGTCCAGTTTCACCATGGAAGTCCAGTTTCACCATGGAAGTCCAGTTTCACCATGGAAGTCCAGTTTCACCATGGAAGTCCAGTTTCATCATGGAAGTCCATTTTCACCATGGAAGTCCAGTTTCACCATGGAAGTCCAGTTTCACCATGGAAGTCCAGTTTTACCATGGAAGTCCATTTTCACCATGGAAGTCCAGTTTCACTATGGAAGTCCAGTTTACCATGGAAGGCTAGTTTACCATGGAAGTCCAGTTTACCATGTGCCGGGGTTGGTAAACCTGTGGCACCAGAGCCGCATGCGGCTCATTAAGGACTGTTTCGTGATGTTAATTATTCAGGACCGTCTCATACGGCTCTTGTTTTTTTTTACAAATTAGAAAAAAGGCTCTTGTTGTTGAGGTTGCAAAACCCCTCTTATAGGTAGGCTGGCCTTAACACAGTTGTGTATCTTCAGCAAGTGTGTGCTGTTGTATTGAGGTACATTTCTGTATATTGTTTTTTTCTAATAAGTTGAAAACGATAGTCTGTTAAACCTTACAGACTACAGGGGTCAATGTCATTAGTGAGCATCGTATGTGAAGAAAGTGGTGTGGCCAACACCTTGTTTGGCCCACTTAAGTCTCCCATATCTTAAGTTTTCACACTGCATGAGATACCCATTTAAGGCTCAAACAACCAAGTCAAGACCCAGGAAAGGCTCAGACACCAAATGCCACCGATCTTATTCATAACTGTGAATAAATCCGGGCCGCCGATATTGCCAACCAACACACGACAAATGTCCGAGTACCACGCTCGATGTTGCACAAGACAAAGTATTCACTCTAGGATGAGAAGAATCAGATTATCAGCTGTGTTTTTAGGAAGCGCACAAATATACACGTGCATGCGCACTAACCGATGGCTTTCGGTGACTGCAGGATGCGATAGCAGCTGTAGAGGGTGATCAGCCCCATCAGGAAGATGATGATGATTCCTAAAGTGAAGCCCGCCTGAACAGAGAAGCAAATGCACGGTGAACCGAGCGCAAGCTCAATTTGCGTACGAATAATTTTAATTAAACAGGGATTCTGCTGCAGTGTAATGGTTCGCACACTGGACTTGGAATCCAGAAAGCTCAACATCATCAATAACATTTCCTTAAAAGGAAATATATAACAGGTGACGTTTTGGGCAATTGGCCTTCTTCATACCAATCCAGAGGTACCCGGTTTGTTCTCTGCACAGCAGTTGAAACAATGGGACAATATTTCAAATCCTCCTGCCTCTGCTCACCGAGCAGTATAAATGGGTACACCACATTCACACATTTAGTCAACTGGCAAATCACAAGTGGTGGGGAAAGTGTGGGTACGTTCATCTCTAATAAGACGTTTGCCCAGTGGAAGAGTAGACCAAAATACCCACCAGGAGCTCTAATGAGCTCCTTATAGTGGAGCCCTTTCCAACAGTAGCTGCGTGAGCTAGCAATTTCATGCCTGTACCTTTACCATCTTAGAAAACTGAATTTCATTGCAGACTATTTCCATAGTATAAGTGTTTGTACATTTCAGGCTCACCTGCATCATGGCCCAGGGAATGCTCAAGATGGAGGTGCCCATCATTGTGTTCCAAATGGCAAAACTTAGAACAAAAATAAACAAATGCAAACTGGTGAATAATGCATCTACTCCCATAAACTATTCCACAATGCAATGAACATCACTACCTATTGTTTTGATTTCAATGTAATTAATTATATTATAAATACCTAGTGTTTTTGTGGGATTCAAATAAAATGGTTTCTCTGAACAAATACATACACTACTGTATTTTGAGGTGTCTAATGAGGTTGCAAACTTATGTGTAGCAACCCACACTTATTTTGGATGTGTTGTCAGTAATCGACTGTTGACACCCTGGATGTAACACAGCAGCAGTTTTGACAGCATTACGCCACAAATCAATGGAAATTGGTAGAGATAAGCCAAAGCATAAAAGCACTGACCTGCCATCAACATACACAACGCTGAGCATGATATTTTCTTTGGAACTCGTGTGGATTCCACATTTGTATATATTTTACAGTGCCAAAGCTTAAAAGAGCATGCAAATTAATCGCCTTGCATTGTATTCTGACCTTGTGTGCTTGCTTAAAAATGCAAAACTTGTTTCTTGCATTGTACACACAGCAACACATGCCAGACACCGCTCTCTTTACACAAACTGCACTCACAGGTAACACGGCGGCAAGCAAATGCACTGGGCATTCGCTTTACTCACTTCCCAAGGATCAATACGGACAGAAACAAATTATTATTACACCGCAATTGTGAGCTAACAGGGGAAAGGTAAAGTGGGGATTGAAAATGCGGCGCGCGGTTGTTGACGATCGATCCCGTCAATGTGCGAGTGAGCGCACCTCACCCAAGTGGGCCTGGTGCTTGCTTACATGGTGACCAGGCTTGGCTGCTTGGCGCCGTCTGGCGTGTCTTTAACTCGAAAGGCGGTACCCAGAGGACTGTACACGTAAATCTCATCTGGCGCCGGGATAACATGATGCGGGGCTTGCTGTGGACGCAGACAAAGACAAAGATCCCCCGTGTAGCCTTAACAGACTGTTGGGGCAAGTGCTGTTAGCGAGCAGCTATGAAGGCCGGCACGAAGGGGTGGGTGGCCAACACCACGCCCGGTCGCCTTTGGCTCCCCAGTGGCGATGTTTACACACCGCAACAGGTACTCATTAGAGGCCGAGTCGACCTAGGGGAGGCCCAGGACCGGTTCAGATAATCGTCACTGGTGTTGGCCGTGATTAGGAATCGAACTCATAGCACAGCTCGCTAAACCATTGCACTACCACACACACGCGCGCGCGCACATACACGCGTGCACACACAAACCCGCACTCACGTGCATTGCCAACTCAGCTACATACCCACACTCTCACCAATCAATTCCTCGGGTTTGTTTTCAAGGGCATAAGAAGCTACGATGAGGTAATACCAGCGTAATTCCAAATAAATATTCACATGTAAGAATGGATGACTACTTCCTTACTACTGTTGTGTGTATAATTACCACGGAGACGTCTTCTGGAGGCAACGCGTTTATTACAACATTCTCGACGGACACCAACTGTAACACGAAGAGGTACGGCCCCTTCAACCCGATAGCCTAAGGGAGGTACAGCCTCCCTTCTAGCGTGTCCTACACACCCCGGGCTACGCTACACACAGGTCCCTTGCCACGGCCACTAAGGGAGGCTAGACTGACCCGACCCAGCCAGGGTACGGGTCCCACCACCGGTCCGCTACAACCCGGCTCTGACAAGAGCCTCGGTTGAGGGTCCCAGGGTGCTGGTCCAGTCTTCAGGTCTTGAGTTGGCGAACACTGCCGGACCCGGCTTTTATCCCCAGGTCGGGCTTACCCCTTCCCTCATCACCCCCTCTCTGAAATGTCTGGGAGGTTCTGGAAAGGTCTTAAAGGCTCTTAAATCTTAAAGGGTTTTAAAATTGGCCGGTGGCCCCTATCCCCCCCAGCCCTCAGCTCTTGGGGTCTGGGGTGCCAACTTCCGGTCACGGGCCACCCGGGGCGGGGGGGTTTACCTTCGAACCCCGACACACCTCGTTCTCTCTCTCGGCTGCCCCCTGTCGGCCAGTGAGCGTGGTGGCAGGTAGAGCGACCTACAGCGCCTTGGTATGGCGCAACACTACACATCTGATATTGATTTAATACGGTGGTAACAAATGTTAATGCTACGATTGTGCATGTGATAAGTTCAAATTTTCCTTATTTTCCAAAGCAATATAATACAATGCACATAAGTTAACCATCACGCATATATAGAATAGCTTACACTCTGTAGCATTTCTGTAGAGCATCTGACAAGTTAATATAATTAAGTAAGCTGTAACACTCTTAAGTTCTTTGCTGACACCCACAGAATGCGCCCTTTAATGAGCATATGTGCCATATGTCCCCACGTTATGCTCCCGTTATTAAATTATGACTGCGGTTGAACCGTTGTGCCTTTCAGATGTTCAATGGTAAATCCACTTGCCGCATTCCAGCCCCTTTTCAGCGATCAACTTTCCATTTAATGTTCTCTTTCGGAACAAGGGGATGCGCGTGAAAACAATTTTAATCTCTCCGAGAACTCGTCTTTCTATGGCCCTGTTTGACACGCGCGCGTTACATTTTGGCCGGCGGCGTTAAGCAGTTAACAAGCCAGGCAATGTGCGTCACCACCCCCCCACCCCCCGAGTTCTAAGGTGGGGCTAACCAGGGTGGTCAAGTTGCTGGACGAGAGGCGGCTGTAGTAGCGCAGGCGGCTGGAGAGCAGGGATGCGGCCGGGGAGACGGTAGCCAGGCGTTCCTCGCCGCTCTCCGCGTCGCGCTCGACGATGCTCTGTGCGTCCACGTAGAACGGCCTGCGATGCGAGGGACCGCCCAGTCACACACACGCGCGCACGAGCACATGCGTGAACTTGGTGAGAAAACGTTGTAGAAAAAAATATGATTGCATGGGTTCATTCATTGTTTTCACACGTTTTACTGTCTAGGCTATGTTTGAATAACACAAGCTGGTAAATGGCATTTATGTTTCTTAAGCCCATTTAGCCTTAGCCTCCCTCTACCAATGAGTACAAACTAGTGCAACATTTCCATTGGCCTCCCCAAGTTTAACTAAGCCTGATAGGACCTACTTATATGCATTTTAATGCCAGCACCGAATAGGCAATAGTGAACGGGCTTAATATACTCTTGCTAACAAAACTTTCCCCAATAGTCTATGGCTTCATAATAAAGGTTTTTGGGTTAGATCGCGTTTATTTATAAATGTGTCGTAACCCTCCACCACCCGACACGGCCAATCAGCAAAGAAAAGTGTCACGTTGACAAAAGACAAATAATTCACTACTTCAGCCCACCGGTGTGTTGAAGAGTTAATCCACATTTACAGTTTGAGTACGACGTTTCGCTGGTAAATACTTCCAGCGAATTGCCCGATGATGCTGGAAGTATTTACCAGCGAAACGTCGTACTCAAACTGTAAATGTGGATTAACTCTTCAACACACCGGTGGGCTGAAGTAGTGAATTATTTGTCTTTTGTCAACGTGACACTTTTCTTTGCTGATTGGCCGTGTCGGGTGGTGGAGGGTTACGACACATTTATAAATAAACGCGATCTAACCCAAAAACCTTTATTATGAATAATATTGGTCGCGAAAGCCTACGTGTTAAACAGTCTATGGCTTGTTTTTTTTCAATCCCCTGGTGGATGAGGGCCTCCCCATGCCGTGTGGGTCGTCGGGGTTATATACTTGAACATGTAAGTGCGTGGTTGAAGGCGAGTAGCACAGATGTGGGAGCACAGATTGTACAGGACAGAGATGGATGTTGCTGCCCCACCCTCGGCTTCCCACCACGTAGCCCAACAGGCCTATGAAAACCATACTCTTTGGTTCTTTTGGTAAGTCACGTAGGTATAAAATAAAATAAATTATTTTATAAAATAAATTATTTTATACCTACGTGACTTTACCGAAAGAACCAAAGAGTATGGATCCCTGCAGTCACAAAAACTTCAAATCTATGAAAACCAGTTTGTCCATGGTGGTTACTTATCCAAGTGCTATCCAGGCTTAACTATGCTTATAGTAGCTTGCAAGACCTGATGAGATCCGTCACATGCCAGGTTATCTGGTTATAGGTGATCAGCATATAGAAGTCCTTGTGAATAAACGGTTACAGTACGAGGATATTCTTTGCAACCAGGATCAGAGATTCTATGAACATTTTGTGATGATGGATGCATGATGTGGCAACGTACAAATAAGTCTACCACATTCTACTGAATAATCAACTTTTTCCGAAAAAGTTGCAGCTTGGAATTACTCCAAATGCTCGTATCTCATCTTCTATCAACTGTATTAAAAGACGTTCTATTTTGGTTCTATTTGCAGCACAATTTCATGCAAGGTTACATAAGCATATTTCTTTCCCACATACTGTATATTAAAGAAATGCATAAAGTCAAGCAGCGGTTCTCAACTGCGGGCATGCGAACCCCTGGGGGTACGTGCAAATGTCCCAAGAGGTATGTGAGGTGAATTATAAATGTGACATTATATCGTACATGAGTCATTGGTGAATAATCATCGATGAATCTGCCAACAAAAAAAATAATAGATTTTAAATCCATATGGTAACCTGGAACGATATAAATTACCTTTCTAAACTCAATGATTGTAAACAATGTGATTTCCAAGAGTAACCAGCGAGTGCGAACGAATTACATCATGCGTCCGTTGATTTTTTTTAATTCACTTGCATTTACTTCGCTAGTTAGGACACCTCACAAAATGGGCAATTGGTAAAATATTGCCGTTCATTATTCATACATTTATTTCTCAGAACCAGTTTGGGTCAGGCAAGCGGGTACTCGGTTGAAACAAAATTCAAGGGGCACGGTAGCCAATAAAGATTGACAACCACTGGAGTAAGGAATATTTAGGATTCAGTTGACATGCTGAAAGCCTCCGAGCTACACCTACATGCAACTTATAGCTTTTAAAACAATGTACACCAAATGAGAAAATTCCTAGCAAACAGCCACCGCAAAGAAGAGGCAGCGGTAGAATGAGCAGTTAAAATTAAACCTGCGTCCGAAATAGTATTGCAAAAGCGATGTGTTAAACGAGTGGTGAGCCAGGGGTGTGGTGGGTTAGAGGGCAGATGTACACACGGCAGAAAGGAGGGGACAGCAAGCCACCTGCGCAGTTTGGTGTCGTTGACGGACGGTGACATCCCTCTGCGACCCTGCATTGGCAGCACACCTCCCAGTAGTGGATCCGTTTCTCTGCGGGTCGAACCCATGGCTCACGGCGCGGCAATGGCAGTTGCCCTTAAATGTTTTTTACCGGTGCCGTTTGCCACGAGCCAAAGACCGCGAGCGCAGGCGAGGAGGGAAGAGGAAGAAGCGAGCGAGAGGGACCTTCGATCTTATTGTCCCCAGTTGAGGCCCTTCATCGCTCGCTATGTGACATCCAGGTGGCAAATGCTGGGCTGCAACACGTAAATATGTCAACATGTGCTGTGAATAAAAAAAACTCCGCTTCAAATTAATTTTTACGGGAATTTTTGGTATTTGTAATATGATTGCTTCTAGCACACAATGTGCAATATACACAGTATAAGAGGATGGTATACAATATTATTTTACGTCCATATTCAAGTTTATTGCTTGGGCAAAGTGATCGATTATATGGAATGGTACTGTAGCCTTGCGTATACGGCATATAAATTACACGAAAACATCCTGTAATGTGCAGTTATGACTTCTGACTACTGAATACTGACCAATTCATCGCCTGCACACTGTTAATACATTGTATATAAAAAAATATAAACCTGACAAGATGAAGAAAATGCCCTCGTGTCAGTCTATCTGTCACTTGAGTTTTCCACGAAAAGTACAGTTGAAACACATGTCCATAGTAATTCCTGTTCAAAGAACGATCACAGTTCTGGGAAAAAGTATAACCCCCCCCAAAAAAGACTGTCCTGGTAATTTCCACCCAGGGACTCCTAGGCCAAATGAGGATAAATGTAAAGCTCTGGACATTCTAACATGTGAACCTGGGTGCTTTCTAAGCTCACATAGCCCCCCCACTCATTCTTCTATCCGTTTTCATTAGCTCTGGACACGCAAGACTATCCAGTAATGGTGCTCGTATTCCACCTTACGTCTTTAACCTCATGATGGAGCTTTATAGAGTTCATATTTCGCTTAAACAATAGCGACCAAGATAAACTTCTGTGAGTTTATAGCGTATAAGCTGTTATGATGGCGTTTGCAGGCAGACAGGTCATATGTCAATATAACATGTGTATACTTGGGGCATGAGTTTTGGATTTAAAGCCTTTACATTTTCAGATATTTAAGGACAATTTCAAATCTTGTTTGGAAGTTTTTGGATCATTTCCATTTTGCTTTCGTGAGAAAAACTCTGCTCGCAATAGTGACTACCCCGATGCCACATGACATCCCTTTTGTTGGCAAAAGCAAGTGATGTCATACAGTGCCACTACTTCCAATTTTCCAAGTGATTAATCTAAAAAAATGTTTTTTTTATCTGAAATGTTGAGCCTCGGCCCGGTTTAAACAAATAAATATGAAAAGAGGTAGCGCATATTATAGGTTATTTGCATGTTGTTAATCCACTGCTGGATGTGAGCCTCCCCACACAGTGGGGGTTTATGTGATCATCTTCACACCGTTCAGTGCGGTTTTGTGAAGGCGGAGAGCATAAATGCGGGAGCATAGATGTAGAGTACCACAACATGGATTTTGCTACACTGCCCTCATGAGTACGTAGCCGCGTAACTGATTTTTACCACGTGTCCTCCAGGATAAATCCAGCTTAGCTTCCGAGACTGGGTGCATTCCGGATGATTTGGTCATATAGTCTGTGCTCTGATTAAACAGACGAAATTAACCACACAGTTCCTACTTCGTTAGTAAATAGATTAGAAATGTTTTAATTGCTTAAACGAGCGTGGGACGGAGGTCAAATCCAGTTTACATGCATAAGTGGAAATTCCACATTCCCATAATGGGGTTTCATTGGTCAATATTATATACCAACTGTTCTATGCATGCACTCTACGTTGAAACTTCTTTCGCACCGTACATAACCCAACCTTGCCCCATGGGTGCGCTGTTGATGTCACAAAGTAGTATCTTCCCAAAGCTTGTAAACACTGACCATAGTAGTCAAAGTCACACAATTAGAATTTAAATATATTTCACGCACATTGGTGGAATTCAGTTTTAGTGGAAATTCCATATTCCACCGTTGACAAGAATCGAGTAATGAATGATAAAATATTATCGAGTTCTTCCACATTGCAATCCAACAGCTGGGAAATTACAACTTAAGAAAACGTACGGTATTAAAAAAATGAACACTGAAACACAATCTCGAGTTTAAAGGGAAACTTGAAATGCCAACATTTATTTAAGTCGAACTTCTTTCGCACCGTACGCAGCCAACCGTGATAATTAAACGGAGGTGCGAGGGGGGGGACGGACAATTAATGTTAAATGGTCGAGTCCATCGGAAGGATCAATCGTGTTGACGTCCCACAAAGCTGTGCTCAGCAACAAGTTAATCAAACGAATTAAGTAGTATAACATTTAAATAAATATACACAGTCCGTGGAATGTTATTTGTTGTTGCGGAAATTCCGCATTCATGCGACGGGGTCGAGTACATCGCGCATGAGGAGCACCGCTGACTAAGGTACAAACAAAGCGGAGTTACGCGGCCACTTAAACAAGCTACTAAAACACAAGCTAAATGATACGAAGAGTTTGGTAAAAAAAAAATAGGACTTAGGCAAAGAAAACATTCATAACCTTCAAATGCGAAAACGCTAAAACCCAACGACTCAAAAGCTCACGTCCAAAGGACTCGGATGACTCCACGAACTCAGAAAACGACGACGAGCGTGGGGTCGACGTTCAAACCCTTCGCTTCGTCAACCTCGTCGTCGTCGTCGTTGTAACACGAACGTTATTGTAATTATCGGCGTGAACTATAATTCATCTTAAGACGTTACCGCCACGGAAGTGTTATATTTTTTTTACCGCCCACGGAGACCGGCTCGTGAACGACGAGGCCGCGCGAGGCGCTGGCAAAGCAAATAAATAAAATGCCCTGGGGGCTCACTTCGCGTTGAGGACGTGGGAGGACGCACAACGCAACGCGTGCCCTAGGGGCGATTTTGACTTAGAAAGGTTTTGTCAATAGCGGGTTGGGGTGCAGTGTAAACATCCCCTGCGCGTCATCGGGAGGCGGATGGAGAATTGATGCGTCGGGGGTTCTTTAAGAGTTAAACTTAAACGACTTCTAACGAAGTCGATTTAATCTACTTACATTTTGAAACCGACAACTTGTATTACACGTTGCCTTAAAAACTAACAAAAAAATATATATACCGTATTCAGGTGGGAAAGCTTTCTCACCTGATGACGGACGCTTGTGTTGCGCCCGAAACGTCGTGATTTTATTTTTGTATTATTATTATTTTTACACGCTTCCTATTAACTCACGCTGTCTGTTGTTGTCGTATCGTCAAATCTTGTAACTCTATTTTAACACACTTCCCAATGTGGTATCGACTGCAGCCTTGGTATGCTTATGTCATACTGATGACAATACTATATTCTATCATAAAAAAAAAAATATATTTTTAAACCATCTTTGTTATATGTTATGTTTCGCCTTGGGTCTAATTGTCCACGGTAAAGTGACGTTGGCTGTAAATCACCACGGTCCCCTTACGTTGTGGGCAAGCTTCGGGGCCACTTGGAGTCGTGGTGGAGTTTTGCTATGACTAGTAACGGTACATTTCATTAAAGCGTGTTTTAAAAAAATATTACTTAACTTTATTTTATATCGACTATGACTTTACCAAAAAGAACCAAAGAGTGTGGATTCCTGCAGTCACGAAAGCTTCAAATCAAGATAAACTGCACTGTCTGATGGCAAAGACAAAGATCCCCCGTGTGTGCCTGGCCAGACTGTTGGGGCAAGTGCTGTTAGCGAGCACCTCCAAAGGCCGGCAACGACATAGGAAGAGGATGGGTGGACAGCACCACGCCCGGCCACCTTTGTCTCCCGAGTGGCGATGTATGCACATCACACCGGGTACTCATTTGAGGCTGAGTCGACCTAGGGGAGGCCCATGTCCGTTTCAGATAATCGTCTGAACCTCGTGTGCCGTGCCGGCCTTCACATGTACTCGCAAAAAGCTCTTACCCCAAACAGTCTATTAAAGGCTATATAGGGGATCTTTATCTTTCTAGCCATATGGACGTTGGAGGGGGTGCCCTATTATAGCGAATGGTTTTCCATTTGTTTTGTGTTTAGATTATAGACAGGTTTTGCGTGCATGAAACCTGCACAACAATTACTGAGTCACTGACTGCTGAGCTGATCGTGTCCCAGTTCAAATAGATGATTCAGCCCCACGTTCATTTGTTTAACCAGGTGTTAATTAACTTATGCGACCAGCATTTAGTCTCGTCCGTGCCCTACTGTGTTATGTATCGGTACCGTCATCAGCATTTGTTGAAGCGAAAAGAAACCCCCAACTCAGGTTCAGAAAATATACAGTATCCAAAATGTTAGAGCAGTGCTTCTTAGGGGCCGTCCATAAATGACGTCACGCGATTTTGGACGATTTTTGACCCCCCCCCCCATCGTCACACGGCGTCACAAAAAGTCAGACCCCCCCTCAAAAATGACGTCACAAAGCTCTGCCCCTTCCCCCCCCCCAAAAAAAAAACATGCCTCAAATCGCTTTAAACTATTGTCATTGTAGTGCGTATTTAATGTGGAGCTGCACTCTGATGTAGGAGAAAACGTGTATTAAAAAGTATATTTAATTAAGTAGAACGTGTTGTCTATATTCTTGGTTCTTTCGGTAAAGTTACGTAGAAGGGAAACAATAAAATAACAAAAATATAAAACAATACAATTCTCACGACGTTTCGACAGCAACACAAGCAATCATCATCAGGTGTGAAAACCACAGCAAGAAAATTTGAAAAAAGTCGCGTTTTTTAACGTTAGCAGCACGGAGAGCGATTTGGCAGTTATTCAGATGGACGAGTCCATCTATGTTCGGAAAAGAGGAGGGGGGAGACGAAAATAATGGATGCGGTCTGAAAGCCACCGTAAGCGTAAACAATCAATTAAGACCCGAAATTGTTTTATCAAATCCTTCCAATGATTGATAAGCCAGAATCCATCTTCTCGGTTGAAATTGTCTCTGTGTTTGTATATGTGGATAGCCTCATGAACGAATCACTCATGGTAGCAAAATGGCTGGCAAAGAACCTCTGTCTTGGAGAAGTCAATGTCATGTGAGCCTACTGAATTATAACAGTGATCTGCCACGGCCGAGGTGTTGGTCCTACCGTGTTTTAGGTCTGCTATGTGTTCACGAATGCAGTCCGAGACATGTCGTTTGGTTTCTCCAATGTAACTATTACCACAGAGGCAACTTAGTTTATAGACGCCAGGGTACTGTATGTCCGGAATCACATCTTTTACAGACGGAACTAGATCACGGATTTTATGTAATGTGTTGAATCGGACCTGGATCTTGTGTTTATTCAAGATTTTGGAGATCTTTTTTGTGATCCCCGCAATGTAGGGTAAAGTGATGGTTTTGAAAGGCTCCTCAAAAGGGTCCTTCTTCATGGTTGGAGTGATAGCTTTGCGGATTGTGTAGTCGGAGTAACCATTAGCCTTAAGAGCTTGGAGTACGTGCTTGAGTTCACTGGCTATGTGTTCCTGGTCGGATATGCATTGGGCTTTGTGGTGCAGAGTCTTGATGAGGGAATTCTTCTGGGATGGATAGTGGTGGGAATCCGGTTTCAGGTAAGCATCCGTATGGGTAGCTTTCCTGTAGACAAAGTGGCTCATTGAACCATCAGGTCTCTTTTTATTAGGACATCCAAAAAAGGTAGCTTGCCGTCTTTTTCGACTTCCATGGTAAATCTGATGGCTGGGTGTATGGAATTGATGTGGTCGAAGAATTGGTCTAGAGCAGGCCGGCCATGTGGCCAGATGACAAAAGTGTCATCCACGTACCTCTTCCATAAGGTTGGGTGCAGAGTGGTGTCAGTCTCAAATTTCTCCATGAAAATGTTGGCTACAACCGGAGATAGGGGGGGCCCATTGGGGTGCCCTCAGTTTGTTTGTAGAAAGTTCCATTCCAAGTGAAGTATGTATTGGTTAAGCAGTGTCTCACCAGGGGGGTACCTCAGTGTTTAGTCCTTGATGAACCAAGTCTTCAATGATTGCGATGGTGTCAGGTACAGGAACTTTGGTGAATAAGAAAACTACATCAAAACTGACAAGCAGGTCGTCTGGGGATAGGGAAATACCCGTGATTGTCGATACCAGGTGAGTAGAATTTTGTACCGCAGAGGTGGTTTTTCCAGTGAAAGGCCGCAGGATTTCAGACAGAAAACGAGCCAGTTTGTAGGTGGGGGAGTTGATAGTAGAGACGATGGGATGAAGGGGTGTATCTACTTTATGTATATTTGGTAAGCCGTATAATCTTGGTGGCCTGGCAGCAGAAGGTTTCAACGAGAACTGTTTGGTTTGATCAATTAATACGGTTGAATCAAAAATGATTTTGTTGGTTTGTATGAAGAGGCTGTTGGTGGGATCTCTTTATTTTTGTATAGCTGCCATCGTTGAGTAATTCTTGAATTTTGTTGTTATATTCTATTTTATCCATAATGACAGTGGCATTGCCCTTGTCGGCTGAGAGGATGACAATGTCATCCCTTTTTTTAATTTATATAATTTAAAACGCTCATTTTAAATTTCGATTTAAAGCTTTCGTGACTGCAAGGATTCATCTTCTTTGGTTCTTTCGGTAAAGTCACGTAGAATGAGAATAAAATAATAAATTGATAAAATAAAATAACACAATAATATTCTCACGACGTTTCGGCCACAACACAAGCGGCCTTCATCAGGTGAAGGGGACGAGACTGTCTGGAGGACAGCGCTGGAGTGAGAAAGCCATGCTGAGATCACGATTTTTAAGCTGTGTGAGAAGAAACAAAGCGCCTTGACAAAGGAATTAGCATATAATTTAGCATTGAAATGGCTGAGTGATTAGCTTGTGGCTGGTCACAGAAAAGGCTATGTTAAAGTTAAAGCATACACATCCGCAAAGGCACCCCTTGACAAAGGAATTAGCATAGAATTTTGCATTGAAATAGCTAAGTTAAAGTATACACATCTGCAGAGGCACTCCTTGACAAAGGAATTAGCATAGAATTTAGCATTGAAATAGCTGAGTGATTAGCTTGTAACTGGTCACAGAAATAGCTATGTTAAAGTCAGAGCATATACATTCACCGAGGCACCTAGTACAAATCAAACAGGATAATTTAGCATTGAAATAACTAGGCGAATTTAGCATTGAAATAACTGAGTGATTAGCTTGTGACTGGTCACAGAAATGGTTTTGTTGAAGTTAAAGCCTACACATCTGAGCTATTCACAGTAACTAGAGAATATAGAGTTTATTGATAACATTGAGGTAATTTATATTTTAGTATTTTTTATTGGTTCACTATATAGTATTCATTATATATTGTATTGTATACCCAGTTACTGTGAATAGCTCAGATGTGTAGGCCTTAACTTCAACAAAGCCATTTCTGTGACCAGTCACAAGCTAATCACTCAGTTATTTCAATGCTAAATTCGCCTAGTTATTTCAATGCTAAATTCTCCTGTTGGATTTGTACTAGTTGCCTCGGTGAATGTATATGCTTTGACTTTGACATAGCTATTTCTGTGACCAGTTACAAGCTAATCACTTAGCTATTTCAATGCTAAATTCTATGCTAATTTCTTTGTCAAGGAGTGCCTCTGCAGATGTGTATACTTTAACTTAGCTATTTCAATGCTAAATTCTATGCTAATTCCTTTGTCAAGGGGTGTCTTTGCGGATGTGTATGCTTTAACTTTAACATAGCCTTTTCTGTGACCAGCCACAAGCTAATCACTCAGCCATTTCAATGCTAAATTATATGCTAATTCCTTTGTTAAGGCGCTTTGTTTCTTCTCACACAGCTTAAAGGTCGTGATCTCAGCGTGGCTTTCTCACTCC